AGTGAGACTCTAACTCAAAAAAAAAAAAAAAAGAAAAGAAAGAAAGAAAGGAAAAAAGAATATCCTATTGAGTTTTTTTCTTTGTTTTGTAATCTTGGTTTAAAATGTTATTACTGATGAATACATTTTGAACAGATATTAAATATGTTATATTTAAAATAAATAAGAAATAAGTTTAAAACAGAAGAAATTTTTGTTTTTTATTTTTTTAATTTTTTAATTTTTAATTTTTAATTTTTATTTTTTGAACTGGAGTCTCACTCAGTCGCCCAGACTGGAGTGCAGTGGCCGCTCCCGGCCACTGCAGCCTCGACCTGCTGGGCTCCGACGATCCTTCCACCTCAGCCTTCCGAGTAGCCGGAATTACAGGCATGCGCTACCACACCCGGCTGATTTTTTGATTTATTGTAGAGATGAGGTCTCGCTGCCCAGGCGGGTCTCGAACCCGCGGGCTCAAGCAATCCACTCACCTCAGCCTCCCAAAGGCGCGGGATTACAGGCTGAGCCACTGAGCCCGGCTGAAATTTTTTTTTTAAAGGACAGAAATTTGAGGGGCATGGAGGAGGGTAATGAACATGTTGGAGGTGGCCGCCATTCTCTATAACCATAAAAAATGCAAAGAAAACTGCATTTATAGTGCCGAGCATGTCCGAGTGATTCCAACTGTGCTGACGTGAGTGTGACACCATTTAGAATGTTACAATGTTGGTTTGATACTTTACATTTTATTAATTAAAGAGAAGACTTAATGGCTCTTACGGGATACTTGAGTTCACTCCCCATAGGGAAAAGGGAGAGAAACAGAGGAAGGAATTAGGGTGAAAATAATGGATAGAGGTGGATGTGGAGGTGAGGAGTAACATGGTGACACGCCCCTTCTCCAACTGGCTGGAGGAGCCAACAGGACTGTATGGACAGGACAACAGTTCACTTCTGCACACATCGAGCGTTGGGGACTTGAGCTTCCTCCCTACCAAGACTCCAGGGCTCGGGCCAGATGGCCTCTGGGGACTTTTCCAGATCTATCTCTGTCTGTGCTTTTGCAATGAAGCCCTATTCCTTTTTAAAAGAACAGCATAAAGAAGGGAGAACTATGTGACACAAATGAAAAGGTGATTTTTAGAACACGGAACGAGCCTCAACTGTGTCACAGGGGACACCCTGTCACCACGCTGTGATGTTAGCTCAAGACATGGTACATGCTGGGAATGTTACCCATGCAGGTTTACTCACAGATCCCCAATTACTTTATCCACTTAAGAGCAACTCTCTTTGCCCAATATTCAATCTGTCATAACAAACCAACCAGTATTGCCATTTTAGCTATCTTTAAAAAAAAATCTTTCCATTGTATTATTGACTAGGCAAGAGAATTATAACTCCAATTTATTGCAAAAGAAAAAGTTTTAAATGGTTTTCCCCTCTTACATCACATTACAGCCTGGTATCATAACGAAAAAGAAAGGCTGCTAGTTTAGCAATAAAGTTAAGGCGTGGACTGTAATTAGAACCTCTTTGACAAGAGAAGTATCTTTTATTCACTAGAGTGTGAATTTTCTCCTATCGCATATCAAGGATTATGAACCTGGAGCCCTAAAAACAAGATTTATTATTTCTACTTGTCCCTTAGCATTTATTGAGCATATATTATGTGCCAGATATCCAGCTAAAGGCTAGAGACAGACAGAAAGATGAACAAGACACATCCCTGCTTTTCACTGCCTTTGAAGTTACAGGAAAATGAGGCTTGGGCCAGAGGACCGTGAGACCAGAGAAGGAATAATGGGATATGAATGTCCGCAGCCGAGAGTGTGGAGAAGGGGTGATGGACATGTTGAAGGTAGAATTGACAGAACTTTGCAACAGTTAGCACGTGGTACAAGAGGAGAGCCCAAAATTACTGGCCTATGAGAGACTGGATGGAGTGACTGCATTTACTGTCACGCTCTTGTCGCCTAGAGTCAATATTCAGTTTCACATCGCATCATCAATAAAAACCACTTGGGAACTTCACAGAGGAAATGACAGGCCTTCTGCCAGCCACTTTAATCTAGGCCAACTTTATTTACAGTTAATCTCTGCTCTCTTTGCTGAATCTCCCATGGCCAAGATCACCCATGAATAACTTGTAGACAGCAAGTTTAACGGACCCTTTTCAGCCTGCATCTTCCTTGACCCCTCCACATACTTGGAAGCCACTGACGTCTTTCTCCATGGAACCCTCCGTCAGCTGGGCTCAGTGGCTCATGCCTGTAAACCCAACACTTAGAGAGGCTGACGCAGGAGGACTGCTTGAGGCCAGGAGTTGGAGACTAGCCTGGCAACATAGCAAGACTCTGTCTATACAAAAAAATCAGAAAATAAGCCAGGTGTGGTGGCACGTGTCTGTAGTCTCAGAACTTTGGGAGGCTGAGGCAGGAGGATTACTTGAGCCCAGGAGTTCAAGATCAGCCTGGGCAATACAGTGAGACTTCGTCTCTACAAAAAAAAATTAGCAAACATGGTGGCATGCCTATAGTCCCAGTTACTCAGGAGGCTGAGGCAGAAGGATCACCTAAGCCTAGGAGGTCAAGACTGCAGTGGCCAAGATCATGCCTCTGTACCCTAGCCGGAGCAACAGAGTGAGACCCTGACAAAAACAAAAACAACAACAACAGAAAAACCCTCTCTCCTTTGACTTCCGGGCACCATTCTTGATGGTTCTCCTCCTTCTCCATAGCTGCCTCTCCTCAGTTTCCTCTGAGGGCTCCTTTTATTTTGCTCACCTCTTAAAGGCTGACGGCCTTCAGTATCCTTCGGGCTGATGCCTCATACATCTGAGTCTGTGGCTGAGTTCCCTCTCCTGCTCCGAGGAGCACCACGTCTGGCTGCCTTCTGGACACTCGTCCTGGTGTGCCACAGACAAATCAGCTGATGCTCAAGATGCTTACAAGGGAGCTGACCCCTCCCACGTGCCCCTCTTCCTGTGTCTCCAGCTCATCTGCCAGCATTCCTGCGATCAGGACAGGCCAGAGGCCAGGACTCAGCCTGAACGCCTCACACCTGAGCCATCACCAGATCCTGGCAACTGCAGTTCTAAAAGACTTGTCCGTTCCCCTTCATCTACACTGACTGTGAGAGCCCTGGCTCGGCCCTCCATCTCCTCTAAGACTTTGCCGCCAGTCTCGTCTGTCTTAAGAGCTCAGCCTGTAATCCCGCGC